GCCTGGGCAGCCCCCTGGTGCACCCCCAAAGCCCTGGCCTGAAGGTGAGACTAACTAGGGTTCTTTTAAATGGTTAATTACAACAGATTTCTCTGGCAATCCCTTCCTTAGAGCATTGATGGTAGCATGGGGCTGGGGATGGCACGGGGAGGAAAGGCATACTGAAATGAAAACTGACTGAGCCACCAGCACTTCTTGGGCCTTTTGTTTTGTTCCTCCAGCCAGCACCTGAGTTGCTGCAGATCCTAGAAGACTTTGATTTTGGTTTCTGCTGCAGTGTGCCCCTGCCACCTGGGGGACTGTGGAAGACATTGCAGCTTTAGTTCTGTAAAAACCCTCCACCTGGCTTTTGCGATCCTGCAGACAGATCACTTAATTCCAATGCAGATTTTGAAGCCTCTGGAGTGTTTTGGGCTTTTTGGCAGCCACCTGATGTCTTTGATCAGATGGTTAGAATCCAATGAATGATCTTGCCAAAGAGCTGGATTTTGCTCAGGCATCTACACATTTTTCTTCCACTTGATAGGGGATGGGTGTACAAAGTTATGCAGTTCATCTTGTAGCTAGGTGGAAGGAATTGCATTTGGTTGCTGTGAAATGTAATTAGGAGTGGAGGCTGGGGGATAAACCGGACTGAATGACTTGCTGAGGGGTGAGAATGGGGTGAACATGGCTGTGTCCTGTGTTACAAAGTACAGTAAATACAGGACAGATGAAAAAGCAGAATTTTTTTTCTAACCATTTTTTCTGGCAGAGTTCTTCTGCCCATGAACCATGTAGCTGGGCTGCCTGTCAGCTCTCCAGTGCAACTTAGAACCAGTCTGTTCAGACTTGCATCCCTGAAGCTTATCACCTAAATGAGTGTCCTGCTTTCCAGAGGCGGTGAAACCCAGCTGCTCTGAAAATCAGGCTAGTTACTAAGGTGCCAAACTGGAGTCACCCAAATCTGAAAGTTTTTTAGTCGGGGCCCGCTTGACATTCTGAAAGGTTTAAAAAGGCGTGGGGGCATATACAACCTGGTGTCACTCCTGGTTTGGTTTTTGAACAGGACCAATGGCAAATGCTGCAGCCCCCACTAGCACACCTCAGAAACTGATTCCTCCTCAGCCAACTGGCCGTCCTTCACCAGCACCCCCAGCGGTACCTCCTGCAGCATCTCCTGTAATGCCACCCCAAACTCAGTCACCTGGGCAGCCCGCCCAGCCTGCCCCCATGGTGCAGCTCCATCAGAAGCAGAATCGTATCACGCCGATCCAGAAGCCAAGAGGACTTGACCCAGTGGAAATCCTTCAGGAGAGGGAATACAGGTAAGAGCTCTGGCTTCTGTTGGAGTTGTGAGATGCTAGTATTAAGTGCCTGGCTGCCTCTTCCCTTTTATCCTCCCACTTGTTTCTTTGCTTTCCTGGGGAATACAGTGGGGCCCTCCCCTTGCCCCAGACAAAAGCCCCAGTTGACTTGTACTTTATAGAATAGCCTAGGATTGAGGAGAAATATGCATAATTTTACTTCAGAATCTGTCTCGACAACTCTTG